GAAATAATCGCTACCTTTTCTTCTATGTTGTGTAAAAATTCACGGCTATATCGATTACCGGTAGACAAAATATGCATTGATTTTTACTATGGGAGTACATATGTATATGTAAATTCAAAACTTTAAAGCTGTTTTTCTCGAGTTTTTTATTTATTTATTTTTTTTTTGATTGACACTTCCAGCAAATGTGCGATATGTTCATACATACATACATATATGTATATAATTATAGAGTCTGCAAATTTCTCTTGAGAACGGAGACGATCCGTGCTGGTTGATTACCCTGTGGTTTCAATAGCAGAAGCAGCTCCTATCCCGTCGAGGCTACTCAATCGACAGGAACCAAAAATGCTTCGACGTCCAGGCGAACTTCGCTTTGAAGCGAAAGTCCGTAATGGAAAGTACGCGGGAGATTTTCGCTAAAGTAGCAAAGCAGCAGGCAGATGCTATGATGGTAAGTATAAGTTGCCTTATCTTAATTTTTGCCTTATATTTCGTCTTTTTACTTTAGATGCAGGCTGAAGCCGCCAAAGTGCAAGCTGAGTCAGCAAACAGCAGGTTGAAGCCATGCTTCTACAAGCCCAGGCCTTTGGGCGCGTAGCAAACGCCTTGGAAGATTTAACAAGTTCTGTTAAGCTGCTGGTTAATAATACTGTTCTCGAATTTTTAACTTTTTTTGAGCCAAGGTTTTAATAGTTACTTCATTGAGGCATTCTAAATTCAATGGATTCTCCCGTTCTATCAGATTGGCTCCAGTTTCGAGATAACGGCACTTGAAAATTTGCTTAAATTTCAACTTTTTTTTTAAATAACTCCCTGAGTTTTAAAGTTATTTTACTAAAACTTTGCTCATGACTGTTTTTAATATTAAATTACTATAAAAAATAGTCACGTGCAAAATTTTTTTAAAATAACACAAACACTAAGTGTTATTTAGAAACAATTTAAGCAAATTTTCAAGTACCGTTATCTCGAAAACTGGAGCCAATCTGATAGAACGGGAGAATCCATTGAATTTAGAATGCCGCAATTAGCAAGATCAACTATCAAAACCTTTGCCTAAGTGGTGTAATAAATAAAATGTAATAATAAAAAGCACATATGTATGTTTGTATGTATGTGATAAATATTTATTAGTTGATTTTTTTCTAAGTAAATTTAGCAGCTATAAGGCGCTCTGCATTCTCTTGGCGAGAGCTGATGGGTGAATGGATTCTTCCCAATCTTCTTCAAAACTGCTTCCACAATTTGATCTTCACTTTGATATCGCTGTTGTTTTCAACTGTGTTGAGTCGCATATTATGCAGAGCTGCGCAGGAGTTTACAATCCTGCCAGCGAAGCCTGGCTCGTACATAAGTACTCGCTGCTTCGAAAGGCATCGCCATGTTCCCTTTAAAACTCCAAATAGCCGTTCGACACAGTTCCTTGCTTTACATAAAGCCTCATTGTATCGAAATTGCGGTGAACCTTCTCTCTGGTTTGATAGAGGTGTCATCAGTCATGGCTCTAATGGGTAACCCAAGTCTCCTGTAAGATATTATTAATCAAAATAAATTTCATCAATTTTCTAAAGAACAATACCTATTAAAAATGTGCTATGGTCTCCCCGATCATACGCTCGCTTCATTGCTCTCCGAACAGCGGATGCATTCCATATATATGCATCATGACGTGCACCGGGAAATCTCGCATTTACATTCAAAATTTTGAGGTTCGGATCACACACCTGTAAAAAAACCACCACTGTCTTAAAAAGCNTATATGCATCATGACGTGCACCGGGAAATCTCGCATTTACACTCAAAATTTTGAGGTTCGGATCACACACCTGTAAAAAAAACAACCACTGTCTTAAAAAGCTGGGATCCAATAAGCGAAAAAACGAGCATACAGAAATACAAATATTTATTTACATACGTATGTATGTATTTCTTACCATTTGAACGTTTATCGAGTGATAGCCGTGATGATTAATGTATGCCTCCTCATGATCTTTTGGCCCGATAACTGCTATGTGCGTGCAATCAATTGCACCAATAGCGCCACCAAGAGGCTTNTAACTGCTATGTGCGTGCGATCAATTGCACCAATAGCGCCATCAAAAGGCTCACGCGCTGCTGAAAAAATACTTCGGGCAACCTGTCGTTCAACTACCGTCATCGGGTAACGTACGTTTTCCATAAACATAGTTTCATTTATGGCATCAGTTACCCTATGAATTGAACGACTAATGGAAGACTGACTCATTGAGAGTCCCCATTGCTCTCCCACTGGCCGTTGGTAGCAGCCGGTCGCATAAAAACGAAGCGCTGCAAGCACCTGGAATCGACGAATTTTCTTTTTAAATTGATGGCCTTTGTTTGATGATCAAGAAGTTTTAGATTTCTTACCTGTTTTTCAGCCGATAATGCTTCAAGACGACTGCCAATTTTGTCTATGATTTCATAAACAAGATTGGGGGTCAGCCGGTATAACCTTTTAAATTGGCCCTCGTCCAAATCAAAGGGGCTGTCCACTTCTCTTAGTAGAGCGCGTTCTGCTGCAAAACTCCTTGCTCCTTGTCGTTGTTGGGCCATTTCCGCATCGTATCCAAGAAACTGGAACGCCATTGTCGTTTTCTAAAAAGTTGCATTTTTTATAAACGAATTTATAATTTTTTATTATAATAGTTTGCTTACCGATGAATTTCGCCTAATTTTTCTCAATAAAAACTTAAACCAATTTTATCGTTAGGCTTTTCAACGACAAAATATTCGTAGCTAGGCTATCGACAAATTTCGTTAGACAACTGTCAAAGCTGCTGACAATATTCGCTAAAAGTGTGCTTGGGAATAGCAGTTAACGAAACTTGTCGGAATCGTTAGCTAACGATTTGTCGTTAAGAAAAATGGGAATCGCACTACTGACTTAGTGACTTTTTTCCGTCCTTTTTTACTGAAAATATCCATAACAAAATTCAGACCAGAACTATAAAACTAAGTACCTAAGCTTACTAAAAAGCTTTAATATTTATAAAACTACTACTACTACTATTTACCGTTTTTAAAAAATAATACTAAGAATTTACATATCTGTAAAACGGTTTTTTACAATTTGATTTGTTGGCGTACTACTTCTGTACTCTCATGTAGAAAATTTTGAAATTTTTGCATATTTTTATCCTAAACTGAACTTCTTTTTGGATATATTGAAGTATGCATGTTTTTAAGGAATGAATATACTGACTTCCTTCTGACTTCAATTTTCATAGCGTACAACTTTTTCTAACCTTTTTTAAAAACGAATTTAGCTTCGCTTTTTGCGATCATCTGGTCACACTGCCTAGTGGCTGAAAAGTCCCAAAATTTAGTGGGAGGAATCCTTGGACATATTTACAACATATTGCAAGCTCAAATTTTATATTTTCATTCGTATCATTGGGATACTCCTCGCATATAAAAGTCCCATTTTAAAGCGTTAATAAATGATAGCACCATTGAAGCAATATGCAATAAAATTTAAGGAGGGCGCCTTAAATCAAGGGTGGACAGCAGATAAGAGTTTCTCCAACATTAATTTATAATTTTATTTTTTGCGCGAAGGTTGCCGCACATTTATTGGCATTTTCCGTCAAAGTCGCGAAATTTATTTTTTCTGCAATCCGACGCTGGAAGAATATCTGCAAACCCAACCAATTTTACGCGGTGTGATGCTCCCAGGCATCTGCATTGGATTCAGATTGGAAATCAATCATTTTCTATATCCCCTTTGAAAATTTCCAAAAAGCTTTGATTGCAAGTTACAAAATGGCTTTGCAAGTAAAATTTTGTCATTCGTTTAATAATTATAAAGCACAACATGCACTAGGTACGCTTCGCACTCAAAATTTCAAAAAAGATGTCGCGCTTCCACATTTTAATGAACGCCATGTATTTTTTTTCAATACATTTCGTTTTCACTTTCAGTAAATACGAATGTTAAATCCATTTATAATATAAATTTTTTTTCAGTGCTGACATATTTTATATTATTTTTTTATTCTATAATTGTTTGTATAAATTTGTACATTTTACTGGAGTGCCTTACAGGCTAACCTAATATTCACGCACGCCGCCAATTTACTGTCAAAAATTTCTCATGCACATACAACTTGTATGGGACCAACCGAAATTGAACGGCGTGCGTATGAAGCTAACTCAATTTCCAATTTTTGTTCTGCGTGACATTTTGATTTGACGTTTCGCTCAATGAAATCAAATGCAAACGCACGCAAGCCAATTTCGGGTGACGCAAAAAAACAAATTCGACGGCGTGCGTACCAAAACGCAAGCCACGAATATTAGGTTAGCCTGTTAGCTTCATATGCGAGGGCGTTTGCTTTGCCCTCCCATATGAAACTCAGGCACTTTCATTTGAATTGTATTTATACATATGTCAGGGCATATGGGAGGGCGATACATTTTTTTTTTTATATTTAAAGTGAAAATTTGTATATGTGCCTATACTTCAATACAAAAACAAATGTGCTACAAGTGCTTATGGAGTGAGCAGCTCTGCATTAAACTCATCTCACATTGTAGATTGTGATTCC